GCCCCCCACTTCTCCTGCCCCCCAGTCCCGACTGCTGCCGGGCTTGCGAGGTGGAGGAGTTGCAGGAGACAAAGATGCTTAATTACAGAGCAGCCCTGGAAACCAGCAACAGCAGCAGCACTGTGGCCAGGAGGGGAGGCAGCAGGGCTGTAAATAGAAATTGCGGAGGCAGCCGTGGGGAACAGAGTGAGGGAGGCTCCTGTGCCTGCAGCGCTCTATCTGCCTCCATTCCCCTCAGCTTCTCTCACCTCTCACGGACACCCTGGCCTCCAGTGTGAACTGGTGTGTGAGAAGCATCCCCAACGCGTGGGATGGGAGGCAGAAGCTCCAGAGGCAGGACAGCCACACTGGATGGAGAAGTGGTTGTGCAAGTCCTTCTCCATCAGGGGCCACCTCCCATGGAAATGCATGAGGATCCTCCAAGGGCATCTCTGGCCAGCAAAGAGGTCAAGGCAAAATGTACACGGGGCCAAATTGCCCCCTCTACCCTTCAGAAGAGACTGTGGGATGCCAGGTGTCTGAGCCTCCATCCAATGAGGGTCTACACAGGGTGAAGTTGGTAAAGTCCCTCTCATCCCACTCTGACTTTTCCAGTATGGCACCTTCCACAGCAGCAAGAGCTCTTCTTTCAATATTTTGCAAAGTTTTATTTAAAAATGTTGAAACTAACATCCCACAAGAATTGAATATTTCACCACAAGGAGAAGAGAAATCCTACAAAAATATATATCACAGCGCACAAGGGCAGGGGAGGGGGAAGAGCGAGACTGAGCAGGGAAGCAGGAGAGGGGCTGGAGGGGAGGATGGAAGCCGCGGCAGAACGAGACTGAGTGGCAAAGGGAGAACAAGAGAGGAATGGGGAGAGTGAAACAGTAGGAAGATAGAGATAATCAGGAGGGAGACCATGGTACAGGACAGAAGTGGGAAGTGGGAAAACAGTGGGAGAGGGAAAACAGGAAAAGAGGAATAGAGAGCCAGCAGTTGGTGAAGGAAGAGGACCCTTGTCTATGGTCTTGCCAAGGTAGGGCCAAGACTACAGTGGGGCATTAGCAGGGGTGCAGCTGGGGAGCTGGAGTTTGACCCAGGGCTTTTGTGCTGCAGGTCTCAGCTCTAAAGCTGTGCCATAGACTTGACTTGTCAGAGTGAATTAAAAAACCCACAGTTTAATTCAGAACAGTCTGAAGGTGGTCGTGTTTGAGAACTTGCAAGGGAATGAACAAACCACTCCTTTCCAAGCATTTTTCTTTATTGGGAAATGGAGTGTGAAATGAAGAGACCAGATTTGCAAGGGCACTTGGGTGCCATTGAGGAAGAGGTAGATAGCCCTCTCTGAAGTTGTGGGATGCTTGGCTGAATGTGAGTCCCTGGAAAGTGGACTGGAAGAGGGGTGTGGAGCAGACCTTGTACATGGGAGGTTTGCTCCCTGCCTACCAGTTGCAACCAACCAGATGGGAAAGGATTTGATCTTGTGGTCATACCACTCTCTTGGGTAAAAAGAGGGATACCCCAATTCCTGCTCTAAAACAGTACAGGGCAGAAGGGAGAGATTGTCCCTCAGACCTTCCCTCCTTCCCATTGCCCTCACAGAGGGACCACCCTTGTGTTAACAAAGCACGGGCTCTCCAGGAACTCAGCAAAAACATGGTTTCTTCAACTCACTCAGCCCACCTGGATGTTCCCTTTTAATAGCACAGAAATGCTGGGCAGGTTCAGCCCAAGGCCATGAACACTTTCAGTTGGTTTCCCTGTGCACTTTTCTATGTGTAAAATTTCCAATGAAAAAAAAATCCAGATCTTTCTCCTCTGTTCACCTAGAAGACAGGGAAACCTGCTGGACTGTGACTAAGAAGGTGCTGGCCTCTGCCCTGGCTTGGTACTTGCTGCTGGCAACCCATCCGTGTGAGCATCTTTGAGAATATTAGCCTGAGCCAGGGCAGAGACCGCAGGCATGCTCTGGCTCCAGTCTGTGTAGGGGAAGATGGTTTATAAGGCTCCAGTCATGGAGAAAACAGATCCAGTGAGATTATTTATTGACTGGAAGAAGCTTGTGTGTCCACATGTGTTTTAAATGTTTTGTTCCAGGGACAAAACATAGCAATGAATGTTTGGGCAGGACAATGAAGTTGTTTCCTGTATCTAACCTGTTTTGTGTGAGAGAATGACTGTCATAAAAACCTATTTAACTAGGAAAATTTGTCTTGGAAAACATGTTCATCATATCCAAGCTTCCATCATTGTAAGAGTTTTCTCTACTGCATTCACTAGCTTTCCCCTTCCCACAGTATCCACAAAAAATTTCACTCCCTGGAGATACTTTTACCAAAACCAGAGACATGTAAAAGGGGGAGAACAAAATCCCAAACCACCATCTGATTATTTTTTTTTTTTTTTGCAGAATTTACAACAGCCTTGCCAGGAGAGTACAGGGCTTTCCCACATCAAGCGTTGGAAAATGTTTTCACTATGTCTCCTGTGGTCCTCTGCCACTTTCTTACAGACCTGTCTCCATGCAGCACGTGGAAAAAAAAGTCCAAGGACAGCCCTTGAAGTGGAAGAGTCTAAACTCTTACCTTGTTTGAACAAACGCCGTTGATCAAAGAACAATCTAATTAATCTGGTCTGGAAGATTACTTAAACCAGTTCAAGGCATTACATTGTAAACTGCCAACAATCAGCAGTGCAGTCCCCTGCAGACTGTGTGCAGACATCCTTCCACAGCGTGGATGTGCCAGTGAGAGTGGGAACAGCCCTGGGCTGCCCTCAGGTGGAGGGGGCAGTGGTGGATGGGGCAGTGAGCAGAAATAGCCATCTGGCCCTTTTCTGTCTGTCCACAGCTTGAATGTCCACCAAAGCCTTGAATGTAGCCTGAATAAGTAACAGGCTTAGTACCAGATTGATCTATGGTAAAGCACTAATATCCCCTGCTATAAGCACAGACTCAACCTGCGCTTAGACTAGAGATCTCCAGAGTCCTTCTTCACCTACATCCTTCAGCCATTCTGTGCTTTTAATAAGCCAGTAATTTTATTTGACCTGTCATTTTCTCAATTCTCTAGTGGTTTGGGTTTTTTTGAAGCTTATTGTAATTTACACTCTCATTTAAATGTCCTTCACGGTGAGTCAGAGGGGACCTGAGATCACCTAATAGTTCGGCCGAGTAAATGGGCACAACCAGGCCTCTTATGAAATTCCCTGTGCTTTGTCCTATAAAGAACAAGCTTTTACTGTGGTCATAAAGGATGGAAGGGCCATTTGCTTCTCTCCAAGATTTTTGTCGGAGTCCTCAAATTGTGGGTGAGTTTCCTGTCTCTGGCCACATCAGTCCAGCCATTGAAGGTGTTTGTACACTACAGGGGCAACCTCATCTAAATGTGCATTATTTCAGCTCAGTGGCTGTCAGTGTAGGGTTTGTGAAGTAATTTGAATGTGTCCACAAAAGCCAAGGGAGAGCAACTATTGTCATTACACTGAAATTTGCCATCTCACACTTCCTCAAAGTGACACCCATGGGTCCACACATAGGAAGAGGTTGAGACACATGGCTGGCTCACACAAGTAACTGACAGTGTGGCTGTCTGCCCCACAGACCACCACAGCCCTGAAGGACATGCTCAGGCAACCAGCTTGCACAGATACCTGAGCCATTGTTTTCAGTTCCCAACCAGCTGGGGTAACACACTTTTGAATGATGGGACCCCAGATATCCCATCTGTCATGCCCTTGGTGAGCACTGCCTCATCGGTTTCCAGTCACCTTGCATTCCAGGAAAGACCTACCAGCAGTACATGGAAACCCTTTCAATGCTCCCAATGTCAGCTCTAAATTGCTCTTTGTCGTCCCAGGCACAAGAGAGTCACATCTGCTGCTTGTTGCCTATGGCAGGAGTGTCTGAAAGCAATTCCATACCTCAGCCCAGCAAAACTCAAGTTCCTTGAGCCCAACTATGTCTGCATGTCACACTTTAGCTGAAGTGTCCAGGGCACTTGCTAGGTAACATGGTGAGCAGAGGGCTTCACCTCAGGATTTCTGAAGAATATTACCATAGACTGATGTCCTTCAGAAAAGCCTTGCTGAAGGGGACTGAGGGGTTGGAGAGGGATGGCAGGGAGGCTTTCAGCAGATCAAAACATTTGGAAATCTAAAGGAATTTTTACCAACTTTAACTGGCAAGAGAAGTGGCAGGAGGGTGGAAACTGAGGGAAATAAAAACTGTGGATGGAGAGATGAAGAACGATACAAGCTGAAGAGAAGAAACAAAGGAGTGTTAGGCAGAAAGAAACTGGAAAGCTGTGAATATCTTCCATCTGGGGGGAGAGTAATGTTTCCTTCAAGGAAATGGGTTGTTGAGGGGGCCCAGTTGCTGTTTGAGCCTCTTCTGCCCAAGCTTCACCTACTTTTAGGCCCTTGGGAGGGCCAAAGCCTCAGGAACAGAAGAACCTGCCACCACCTGAGTCACCTTGGTTCAGGGGAGACCAAGCCCTGGTGGGCAATCGTGCAGCCACTGAACTCCAAAGCCTTGAATGGAGCTTGAATAGGTTCACTGCAAAGCACACAACATGGGAAGGGACACACAGAAGGGTTAGGGCCCACAGGGACAGAGGTACACCTTTCCACCTTGCCCACACCCGATGTCAGGCATGCACTGGTGAGAGAATTATGGAGATCCAAGTGTGTCTACACACATATGCTAGAAGAGGGGCTGGGGAGGTCAAGATGTCACACCACCACCAGCTGTCTTCCCTCCCACCATCCTGCTCTCTCTCTCATCACCCTGTCCTGTGTGGGCAGGGGGGTCCCCAGCCTTCCCCCAGTGGAAGGCTAAGGAGGCCCAGCTCATCTATTTGCCCAGGCACATCCCCGTGGGGTTAGTTAATAATGGTGGTGGTGGGCCGTGGCACAAGGAGGTTGTTTTTTCCTGGGGTAGCAGAGGCGATGGGAGTCTGTGCTCGCCAGCTGTGACAGGAGGGCGGGGGGAGCCAGCTCAGCCTCTCCCAGGAACTTCACAGGTTCACCAGTGGGATTCTGGGGGGAAGAGGGAATTGGAAATTAATTAGTGACAGACACTTACACTGTCCCCCCACTAACCAATGGCACCTTTGCCTGTACCCTGTCCCCTGTCACCCCTGCCTGCCCTGGCTCACCAGCCACTCACCGGTTGAGCTGGAAGGCTGCATTCTTCCCATGGCCACCCAGTTTCTCCACACCCTCTTGGCCCTGCCTGGACTCCTCTGCCTCAGGTGTGGGGACCAAGGAGTCACCGTACGGCCCCAGGATGCTGACGGTGGTGGGGGAGAGGTCCGTGAGGGGCTGCTGGCTCTCCTGCTGCCTCCCACTGCTCTGCTGCCCCGAGTGACGCCGACGCTTCTGATTACGGTCCCAGCTTTGGAGAGAGACAAGGGGTGAGGTAGAGAGACAAGCCCCTGTCCTTTAAGACAGAGAGGCCTGTGGGAGGGACCCTGCGGTGCTCAGCATTAGAGCCCAGCTGGGCCATGTGCCAAACCTTGCAAGGGCTTGTAGCATCAGATCTGCACCCCTGGGGACAAATGAGTACCAAGCCCTCAGTCCTCCTGCCCACCCACCAGCAGACACTGGTGTGGTGAGAGCCTCCATTGGCCCAAACCCCACTCACCAGAACTTGAATATGATCCCAGTGGCAACCAGGACAATGATGATGGAGATGGTGATGGTGACGTAGAGCTGGGGGTCCACACCTGTGAGACAGAGGGGGAGAGGGAGATGTGATGACCACTCCCATTGGACCCCAGAGAACAGCAAGGCAAGGGCGAAGAG